TATATATGTGTGTGTGTGTGTGTGTGTGTGTAAGTAATATATATATATAGTAATATATATATATATATATATATATATATATATATATATACTATATATATATATATATATTCAAACGCCAGGAATTTCTTCCGAAATAAACAAACAGTACAACATGTACATAAACTGTGCAGCACATCTGACCGACCCCCTACGCAACCTATATATGCTCACAGTAGGACCTTCCAGCCTTCGGTTTGGCAAAGACTGCACAGCCCTATACATTTTATCATCCATGTGCTTGACCTGAATACGGTTTAGATACATCGCATACATATCTGTCAAATAACGAGTTGGCACCATCAAATGCGCACAACGTAATAACCGCACTCTACCCTTCAACATCTCTTAAGATCAAAATACAGTCAATCCCTGCCCGTCTACACTCCTTTCGACAAAAATATTAAGACTTGTTTCGTGCCCACCAACAAACCTTTAGTGGCGCCTTGAATACTCTTGAGTACTTTGAACATGGGCGCTCGACTATCTCCCGAAGGGCCAACGTAAACCAGTATCTGTATGCAGCTTTCTCAACCAGTATGTGTAGGTTAGTCTAGTATGCGCGCTTGCAATGATATCTGTAACTTTAGCTACACGCGTTTGTGTTGCAATTTGCTGGTGTGCGTGTCTGTTTTGATTTGCTGATGAGCGTGTAGGTGGGGTTGTTTGTACATAAGCCCCTGTATTTCCACAAATATTATATGCACGCAAATTTTTTTAAATGTGTGGAAAGTTGGAAACTTGATATAGAAAACTTCGGGTCACCCTAGATCACATATTTTAGTTGTGCAACGAGCTCCTAGAGCAGTCAGCGTATATTTCAATGGTTCCCCCTATACAATAAAATTTGTAGATCTGATCTGGAGCTGAAGAGTAGTTTCTTATCTAATATGGGCATCTTGAGTTTTGGCGGGTACTCAGCGGGTACTCTGAAGCTAAACGTGATTACGTGAAACCGGAAAAGTGGAAACATCACATTGTCACAAGCATCAAACCTGTAGGCAGGGGTACCGGGTAACCCATATACAACGTATAAGTGCTACGTTTTGACGCTTACGTATTGTGAATATAAGCGTAAAGATGTAATAGACTTACGTATATGATCACCACCAATATGCTTTTTTTTCAAAACCTAATTACACTGGAACCTGGATTATATACAACAATGAACGCCCGCTCATAGGACTTTCCAATTCCTAGATAAATATTTTGTTTGAATTGGGTATAAAGTGATCCTAATTGTATATCGAACCAATCTGACGAAAGTGTACTAATACCAAATGATCGTTATGTATGCATCACGCCAGCATATTAACCCTATTGAGTATTCAGTCTAGTTATATAATATGTGCACAGGTGTTGTTTGCGGAGTATTATAGAAGGCAGCATCACTCAATGGGCTCTTTGTATGATCCAGACATTTATTGTGGCCGATAGTTCGTGAAGAAAGCTGGCATCTCTGTGTGCAACCAAAGTGCCGTGTGATGATATGTACGAGCTCATCATTATGTGAACTACACACAGCAGTCCTGAAACAACCTACGAAGGAGCACGAGTCCTTGCCTCAACCTATATGCACACGACGAGTTTTCGCGTTGGACCATTTAAACTCTTTCTTGCAGTAAATACAAGTGTGCACCGGCTTATTGCCTGCATCTTTACGTTCTGTGAAGTGGTTTGTTCTGACCTGTCAGCCTGACGGACCATCTCACTAGAGTTGTTCACAATACTAGAGGACTATGCGGGTAAATAATTCAAAACCTCCTGAAACTCGACAACAGCTGCTTTTTGACACATGTGTTTGCTTCTTTACACTAAACACTAGTCCAAATCTTACACTCGCGCTCATCAAAATTTGGGATGAAACTGGTAAATTGAATATGCTATTTTGAGCCAAAATTCATTCACGTGTGCATGTAGACGGAAGACTCATATCGTAAACGTACTACATTTTAACGTTTACGAATTGAATATACACGCAATTACGCTTTACGTTATCAGACCTGCCTGTAGATAAGCAGTGTCAACTGTGATGTCAACTGTCTGGTGTCAACTGTCTGGTGTCAATGTCTGATGTCAACTGTCTGGTGTCAGCTGTCTGGTGTCAACTGTCTGGTGTCAACTGTCTGGTGTCAGCTATATGGTGTCAACTGTCTGGTGTCAGCTGTCTGGTGTCAACTGTCTGGTGTCAACTGTCTAGTGACAACTGTCTGGTGTCTACTGTCTGGTGTCAACTGTCTAGTGTCAACTGTCTGGTGTCAGCTGTCTGATGTCAACTGTCTGGTGTCAGCTGTCTGGTGTCAACTGTCTGATGTCAACTGTCTAGTGACAACTGTGGTGTCAACTGTCTGGTGTCAGCTGTCTGGTGTCAACTGTCTGGTGTCAGCTGTCTGGTGTCAGCTGTCTGGTGTCAACTGTCTGATGTCAACTGTATGACACAAAAATATGTGCATATATAGCAATATCAGAAACGACTTCGTTTTGTCTACATCTAGGCAGTCCACAAAGCCGGCCATCTCAGTGCGAAGTACTAGTTACTTGTGCTATGTACTGCTGAGACTACGACAAAATGTCACAACTGTCTATTGGAAGGACAGTGTCGCATGCTACTTTCAAGAGAGTATTTTCATTAGCATATCGAAGCTTGCAGAAATGCACCCCTACACATACAGCCACATACAGGCACGTACATACACACCCACACAAACCCCATCATGTCCGTGCAATACCACACACAGCTGTGGTATCACGTACATACTCAGATACGAGTACTCACCCTCAACGCGCTTACGATTCAAAGGCGATCGAACAGAAGTGGCAGGAAAGATGGGCATTACAAGCCAGCAAAGCGGAAGGGCAAAAAGTAATTGCAGATTTATCCGATAATGCAGACGTGCGCTATAGCTTAACAATGTTTCCCTACCCTTCTGGTTCACTTCATATGGGCCATGTACGGGTATATACTATGAGCGACTGCATGACTAGGTAAGATATTGGTAAATAATCCCTGTCGAACTCGTAGTAAATTAATATTTTTTTTGGGTGAGAGAGACTATATTGATAAACGCTTATGTATTCGTGTATATATATATATATATATGTGTGTGTGTGTGTGTGTGTGTGTGTGTG